AGGTCACTTTTGTTAGGTTAGTAATACAAGCTCTACCAACTTACCAAACGAGTACCCTTGTTTTACCCCATGGCCATCTTGTAGAGATAGAGAAGTCCACCCCGTGTTAGTTTTGTACCACGAGGTGGGTAAACACAACTCAGTCGATGTTGTTTGGGAAAATATTAGTAGACCTAAAGAACAAGGTGACAAGGGCTTACAAAGGCTCAGAAATGAACTTTGTTTTGTTCTTAAGGTTGTGTTTGATTGCTGTGCAATTTTATTTGCACTAATACAAATGCATGGGAGTGTAAATGAAATAAATGTAAATTCTTGTTTAATTTTGTTTTGGGTTTTACTTTATTCTGGTTCATGTCTTAATTTATTTTATTTTTAGTGCAATCAAACAAAATAAGTTAAAATAAGTTAAAATAAAAAATAGGTAAAAATTTACACTCAAATCATTTGTACTGCCACAGCTTCGCATCAGTGTAAATTTATTTGCATTACAACCAAACATAGCCTAAAGTAAGTTTCGAGATTTGTCAAGGAAAGAACCTCCTTCTGACAAGTCAAGATTGGAAACGATGCCTTGTATTGGTGGAAACAAGTCATTAAGGTTCATGATCTTCTCAAACATGGCATATCTTATGGCACAAATGTTGAACCATGACATATCTTGATGTACTGATGAGAACTATGAAGATACTCAGTTATGTTACCATGGCATCCCTTGAAGTGAAACATATTGGTGTCGCGGATGTTTTTGCTTCCCACAATCCCTAGATACCCTCAATTGTTGGTATTGTCCCTTCAAGGTCTCCCCTTGGTGTTCCTACAAAAGATTGTTTACGAGTTAGTGAGTTACTTGACACACACAACTCTTGAAGAGCAGACTTCATTGCCTTCTTGTTTGATAGAATTGAGGTGCACCATGTTAACCAAGGTTCTTGTTGACTGGCCATAAACTGAAGATATGGTCCTTTAGAAACGCACCAACAATGGTGAGTTCTCACTTTGCTCTGCATATAGAATTTTTAGGAATGCTATTCCCTCTTTGAAATGCTAAAACTACTTAATCCCATTAACTCAATTTAGAAGGAATACAAATACAAATATATAAAGTGCAAAACCTTATATTTTGTATTATTTTATATGTGTTTGCACTGCACATATTTGCATTAGCCATTAGGGCAACCAATGGGGTGAGCTCAATTTTGAGTTTTGGTATAATTGAATCGGCCGGATTTGATAAGTAATCATGTATGACTGATTATGTAATTCATATGTATAGTATGAAAGGGGTGCTTAAATATTTTGATATTTAATATATATATATATATATATTTTGCTATATTAATTAATTAATTAATAAATATGGTGAATTCAAATAGATTATTGAAATATTTAATTGAATTTAAATATGGATTGATTCTATTCGAATCCAATCTATTTCCACTCCTAGTGGTCTAAAGTGTAAGAAGTGAACATTTTTTAAAGGTGTGCACTAACAAGTGAAGAAAATTGAGACCGCGACTAAACCCAATCCAATGCCACTAGGTTGAGTTAATGTTAGGGGTGTGGTTATTGAGGGTTCAATGGCTCATTTGTCCTACGTGTGGTGAAGAGAATGAATCTATTGATTGATCATAGATTTGTTAGATGTCCTCCTATAAACCAATTTGGTTTGATGCACTTACTGCCAATAGAATAAATCAACTAACAACGATGAAAACCATTGTTAGCTAGTTATTGGTATTCTTAGAGATGGCGTAAGGAAGTAATGGGAGATAATTTCATCAGTAAATGCTCACATTATAGAACTATGGAACAATCTTAATCCATTGCAGGATTCAGTCACATCTTGTCGAGGATCTCCAAACCTTACAATGGATTCTCCCTATTGAAGCACTCGAGATTTTTTATTCACTTTTCCTACCCACTCTCTACTCATCGTGAATTGGAGCCACACATCTCTATTATGAAGTAGAAAATGGATAAGAAAAGTGAATAGGAAATCTGGGCTCTTACTGAAGATACCCTTAAAATAAACTTTGACAGGTGGCTAACACTACTGTCACGGGTGTGGGTGTTGTTATAAGTGATTTCAAAGGCAACTTCTTCTTCATGGGAAGAGCTAGACATCCCCAGGTGTGCTCTATTGAAGAATTTGACTGTGGCCGTACTCTATGCGTTGCAATTTGTAAAGGAGTTGGGACTGTCTAGGATCTCAGTAGAGAGTGATCATACTAAGAATCACTTCAACATCGTTGATCGTTGAATAGTGAAGTTTGTTTATTCTATCCCTGGTTTCTGAACCATGATCAGCTTATTGTACTTGATTATCCTTTGAATTAATACATGCTCTTCTTCTTAAAAAAAAGGCTCAATAAGTTGAGAATCGATCAACCATTTGTTTGAGGCCTTGAGGCTTTCAAATTGTCTTATTAGTTATTTTATGGTGATTATTGAAGTGACTTTCAAATTAAATCTTATTTTTGCTGTGATCATCTATAACTGATTATCAAAGATATTTATCACAACACTGATATCATAACATCTTCTAGCCGTTTTGCTATTATTCTTGTTAAATGACAGTAGGACTAGAAATACAAAGCCAAAGGTTCATTTGTTTTTTGGGAATAGGGCTTGAAATTGGATTCGAAAATGGCCATTCCAATTCCAGCTGTTTAGTCATGTTTCCTTCTTGATTCTCATTCCCGGTTGAATGGTATTTTCCCATTTGAGGGAATGGTCATCCTCGTCTCCCCTTTGACATAAAAAAGACAAGTGACTTAAAAACCTCCCAAATCCTATATCTCTTCATTCATTGCCAACCCTCCTTGGAAATTGTATATATCTTATAAAATTCAGTTCAGGTTTTTTATTTGAAGCAAATATAGAGGGAAATTGGTGATTCAAATCCTAATTTTAGTGGATTTTGATTCCAAAACCTGTGTTTCTGCCTTGGATGTGCCGAGGGCAACGAAGTGAATTCTTTTCCGAGCCAAGGGCTAATTGATGAGTCTGAGGTCTGTTGTGGCCGAGAGCCTATAAATTGGTCATGTGACGAGAGAGAAGACATCAAAGGCCCAGGGTGCTAATCCGAGATGGGGACTCCAAAGGTCAAGTTAGTGAGAGTGTGACGAGGGGTGGACGGGGCCTGGGCTGGGACAACTCAGACAAGGTCACAATGAAGATAAATAAATCCTTAAGAACATAAAGTCTAAATCCCTCACCTGTGAGGGGTCGCCCCCTATTTATACTTGAGGCCACCTGGGAGTAGGTGGGCGTGAACGGCTAGGATGCAGTCCAACCTTGTCGTGCAACCATCCGTGCCATTGAGCCCACGTCACATGCCAGCTTATGCTTTACGCAACATCCCTATTGGGTCCACGCTGTACGCCACCCTCTACCACGCCTGACGTGCCATTGGCATGCCATAAGCGCCTACATTTTTAGGGTTAAAGGAATATTTAACCCTAAAAATATTCCTTTTGTGATTATTAAAATTGTACAACCCAAGGATTAGGTTGAGTACATCCATCATATTCAACCCAATTATAAATGGGGTCTAATTTGGATAATCTTATCACATATGAAACAGATTTCGGGAAAAAAAAAAAAAACCATTTGCTACCTGCTTGTGGTGGGCTTGGGCTCGTACCAAATATAATCTATCCTAAGAGTTTGGATTTCTTCCTCACAGTGGGATGCGTGTAAGGAGTAAATCTGGATTCCTAATTTAATACCCATCTATTGAGAATGAATTGACAAGTAGGGCTATTGGACTTTTCCATATGTTTTATGAACAACACATGCTGGATTCATAGCTAGCTTTTCAACAACTTCAATTAAACAAAAGGCAATTGTGCTGATTAACCACAAATAGTTCGGGATTCCTTCTTCATCGCCAAGACTAATTTCGTTTGGTCCATTTATTTGGAATCCGAATATCCTCTTCACAGAGCACTCCTCACATTGATCTCACACTATGTACTAGCTCTGTTCATGGTTCGGGCCGGGCCGGGTTTGGGCCGGGTTTTTATTGTGTATTAACAATCTTTTTAAGGCCCAAGCCCGAGCCCGGTCTGACCATCGGGCCTACAATTTGGGCCCGAACCCGGCCCTCATAAAAAGCCCGAAGCCCGAGCCTGGGGCTGGGACCGAAATTTAGCCTATATTATTATTATTATTAATGTTGAAGCAGTTGAATAAAGAGAGAGATAGATTGAAATTATAAAGAAAAGAATAAAATATATATATATATATATATTAAATTATAAATATATATTTTAATAAATATTATATTATTTATATATTTTATATAATATATAAAATACATATTATATATTTTATAAAATATATAATACTGAGTCGGGCTGGGCCGGGCTCGGGCCGGGCTTTTTTAACAAATCCCGAGCCCGGCCCGAAACACAATCGGACTTACTGTGTTAAGCCCGAGGTCAGGCCCGCGGGCCTAATTATATGACCAAGCCCGGCCGGAGTGCGGGCCGGGCCAGGCCGGGCCGTCAGGCTACCCGGCCCATGAACAGGTCTACTATGTACCAATCGCATGGGAATATATTCCGTTCTTATACGTTAATATTTATGGGAGATGCTTCTAATACATAGTGGGATGTGACTGTGAGGTTGGGTGAGTAGCAGGTCCCAATTCATTTATTTGGAGTTTGGATTTGATCCTCATTAAACCATATTCATAGCATTTTGCAACCGTGCATTTAGAATATGTCAATCCTTATATGTTTTTATTCATGGAGAAATATTCCCAATGCACAACTACAAGAAGCTGTTAGGATGGTGTGAGGACCAAATCCGATTTCATTCATTTGGACTTAGCCCTTCGGTTTGGGGCCTTCCAATTGACTCAAGTCTATGCCAACTTTGGATCTCTTACCCACAAGAACTCTGCCCATATTTACCTGAATTCAGCTTTAGTCAGGGTGCACTTTATACACGCACCATTTGCCAAAAGGAGGACTCACTACGCATCCTTAAAACTTCATGTGACCACTTACAGCGTCCGGGCTATAGGAAATGGCGTCTTCTATCAAAGCTGTAACATTATTTCGAAAATGTCAAAAGTTTTCGAGACCTCCCACTCCTCTCTCTCTCCTTCCAACCAGCGGCGACCATACTACATCCATATAATTCTGAACCTGAGAAATTGGAATACTATCAAGACCAAGAGGAGAAGTAGAAGTGCTATTAAACACTTCTTCCATTTTGAAGCCTTTAATGTAACCAACAGTAGAGCATAACCTTTGCGGATTAAGGATATGTTTGGTTCGTATAACGTTTTTGGAAAGGGACTGAGTTGCTGATTGGCTTGTTAATTATGCTCATTCAAACCTTGCTTTTATTTCTTCGTTGCCTTTCTCTTTAAAGTGTTTTTCTTATACCGACATTTGGGGATGTATTACCCTCCGATGCGTGTAGATTTCTATTGATCTCTTGTTTTCTATCAAAAAAGAATGGTCCATTTTGATTCCACGATTCCCATTCCGAGCGGAATGGAAATCCCCCATTTGAGGGAATGACCATTCCCGACTCACCTCCCCGGAATCAGAATCCCATTCCCGCTATTTAATATAAGAAAAAACCAAAATGACAAAAAAAAAAAAAAAACTCAAATCTCTCTCTTTACTTGAATCCAACTTTCTAACCCTCACTCCCCCTTCTCTCTTGTCACTCCCTCCACCAGCAAAAGTTTGAAGTACTGATTTGAATCAAAACTCCAGCGCTGATGACGACGAGGTAAATCACCATCAATTTTTTTCTCTTATTTCCTATTCTTCTTCTTCCTCCTCTCCTTCTCTTTCTCTCTCACTTTATTTTTTTCATTCTTCTCTAGTTTTTCCGCTGCAGACTAGACCAGACCAAACCACAACAAGGTATGCTTTCCTCGATTTTCCTTTGTTTGAAATGCATGTTAAATTTGGTTTTTTTACTTGACCTTGAAATGCATGTTAAATTTAGCATATCTTCTTTCAAATATTTAAATGTGTTTTAATTTTTTTCCCCAATTTCAGTTTGGAATGCATCCTTATGGTGTTTGTAACTAATGTCTAAAAATATCTCTATCAAGTTGATTAGAGTACAATAACATTCTAATCTAATGTCAAATTAGATAGAGTCTTATTAAACATGAACAGTGACAATAGAAAGCAAGAGTTTGAAATCAATAAATCATAAACAATAGCAAGAGTTTTATAAACCAAATCTAATGTACTAGAGTCCAATAATGAGCTTTCTTCAGAGAAAAAAATAAAAGAAAAATAAATTAGGACCTTTCAGACTATTCTCATGCTGTGCATTTCCAATGGCAAACAAGTACGGATCAGAGGGGATCATGTCAAATTGGGTGTTGGTTGAAAAAGTTTTGCCAAATCCCTTCATATTAGTGCTGATTTGGAGTTTGAAATCCAAGCAAAGTCGGTAGTCTTATGTTGCCAATCCTAAATAGTTGTTAGAAGGTACTAGTGAGAATGACAAGAAAGATGACCAACAGCCATCTGAGATAAATATAAAGAAGAACAAAACAAAAAAGAAATGAAAAAAATCCATTACCACCCATTTGCACCTCCACGCTTTAGCTCAGCACACACCAACAACCAATTATACGAACTGTTTGAAAGCAAAACCCAAACTCCACTCCAAATCCCAGTATTATTACATTCTTTCAAAATTTGTTAGTAGTTCTTACATCCATCAACAAGGTTGAAATTGATACAACCAATAGATGGATAGTTGATTCTTACCACAAACCACCAGCTTGGGAGTTGGGTCAAATTACAAATAGTGAGTATCTGAGTGATATGTTTCTTTGCATGCATTAAAGCCCAAATTAGCTCAGTTCATATCATATAAGTTAATTGATCCTTCAACCAACAAGAGGTGATCAGACATACGAAGAGTGTTTATAGATTCAAGATGTTGAATGTTGAACATGCGAAGAGCGTTAGTGCCATCAAAGATCTAGACATACCCATGATTTCCCATTATTGTGGTCATGCTGCTTTGATGTGATGGATCACCTTATTTGCTGTAAATTTTCATTTGAGGGCATGTGTTTTCAATCTACTACGTGGTGGGTTGATTACTTGGATGAAAGCGTTTCCATGTTTTCAGATTATATTGCTTTCTTGGCATTGGGAGTTCTCTCAACTTTAGCTGAAGTGGCAAAAATAGAGGGGCAGGACAAAAGGTAGAAATTCAAAATTTGTATCAAGTAGGAAGGGATGCAAATTTTAAAGTTGCCATGACAATCATGATTAGGCAGCACAAACCACAATTTTTTTGATCAATTGCTCTTGAGCCTTGGTTTCTTCTGACCAATCCTCTAAACCAACCCAAGGCTAACTAACCAACTCCAGTTCCAAGGCTTCAACCTAAAACAAACCAAATCAAATCAGATTGTAGTGGCTATAGTGATTTTACCTGAAACGTGAGTTTACTTGGCTTAGCAGGGCTTATCTAGATTGCTTCCTTCCCTTTACCAAAATTCTCATATATGCACATGTCTAAAGACAATAACTCAACATTATTTGAGATTTTTCTATCAGTAAATCAACATAGTTGATATAAGAAACACTCAAAAAACGTTAGATCAAAATAAGTGACTATAGTTTTCGGAATATAGCATTTCTAATAGAAAACCTAGCTAGGCTCTTCCTCTCTTGAGAGGCTCCTATGTGCTTGGTCCAAATTCCAGTATTTTACATTTTCCCCACTTCCACCTATATGGTCTTACTTTCCACCAACGGGTCCTCTAATTGATAGAACCTCACAAATTGACAGGTGTCAATGGAAACTTACTTAAAATTTGATTCGATTTCTGTATAAATGTTTGTGCCATATTTTTTAGTAGGTTTCTTGATATTGTTGGTGCAACTGAATTAATAAAAAATGCTACTGCAATTAAAGATGAGATGTTGCAGCTAGAGGAAGCCAGAAGGTTTCACATTTCCTTGTATTCACAGGTAAGAACTCGTACCTTAACCTAGCCTCTTTTTTATCCATTAGAAGGTAAGTGCATTTGCCATTACAGGCCTGATGTTCCTCATATCCAAGCAACAGTTATTTGTTCTAGAAAAGCAGGAATGCAACTTAGAGTACAAAGTGGTGGCCACGACTACGAGGGATTTTCATATGTATCTGATGTTCCATTCGTCATTGCTGACCTGCTAACTTTTCGATTTATTGATGTTGATATAGAAGATAACAGTGCATGGATTCAAGCTGGACCATTTCTTGGGGATGTTTATTATAGAGTTGTAGAGGTTTTTTTTTTTGTTTATGGATTTTTCTTTTCATTTTTTATGGTGGAGAATGATTTTTTTTTGTTTATGTGTTTTTCTTTTTATTTTTTTTCATATTTTCTACATATATGCACTTGTTAGCAGGTTGCCAATGTGTGTATATGTTGAAAATATATAATGAGTGGCTGTTTTTGAGGTTTTTTTAATAAGGGCAGAATTGAAAACTTTGGTTGATTCCAATTCCAGCTTCTAGTTGAACCAAACAGTAACAATCAAAATCAGATTCCTATTGCTGAGTGAACCAAATAGGTGCTAGGAATAGGTGATTCCGATTCTGATTCCATCCTGTCCACAAACCAAACACACCCTTAATTTCTTATCACCCACTAATGAAAAATAATGAAAAAATAAAAAAGAGAGCGGAGAACCTTTGGCTATTGCATAATGAAAAATAAAAAAGGGACTTAATTAATACATTCCCAATCACTGAAGACAATCCTAATTTTTATGTGTATCTATCTCCCTTGGTTTTCGTTGCCACTACGATTATTGGAACTTTCGGTATCCCCCAATTTAAATAGGATTGTCCCAAATACTGAAATTCTAACCACTGTCATTCTCCAAGCATCCGTCTCTGAGCTAACCTCTTCCCTGTAAGTGACTCTTCCACAACCACCACCCTCAAGTTTATACTATTCACTCTTTCATCCTATAGAAGAAAGGCCAGAGAAATGATCATCGTGAAGTAGATGTGGAGCAGATATTGTTAATAAGACTTGATTGAACTGAGTAAGAGCTCTAAAACCTAATATACCCTTTAACTTTGAATCTTTGATTTACAGTCTCAATTCTAACTAAAAATACAAAAAAGGAGACAAAGAAGAAAATAAACTATAAGGTATCCCTTCCACCATCAGCCCTTCAATCGTCATGCAACTTGTTAAGAAAACAGGTATAGAGAGAGAGACTCAACCCTTCTTCCGCCACACTTGGTCTATAGGATTAGATGAAATGAAATGGAAAAAGGGTAGATATGTTGATATCATTTCTCTCATTGCCAATATTGCAGAAATACCATCGGGCCATAGCAGTTAGCTCCCCTGCTACAGATGTAGATAATGGGATTTATAAGAAGAACTAACAAAGCATAAAAGAAAAAATAATGGACAACAAAAAGACGCAACACAAACGATACACAAAGCTTGGGAGTTGATCTATTAGCCATTGGCGGGTGACTTCTGTTAGTTCTAGAGCTTCCATTGATTATACCCGCTTGATTCTTAACTCACAAAATTTTTTCTTCTTCATATGCAGAAAACCATAACCACCATATAAGAAGCTAAGGATTTTTTTTTCATGGCTCTTCTGATACATCATTCGTTCTTGTGACCGACAAAAGGAACTTTCAGTTTTGATGGTGATTATTGTAATAGGGGAAAAAATGCAAAGGTGAAGTAAAAAAAATTTGAAAAGATTCAATACCTGAGGTTGACCACCAGTCACCGGTGATGGTTGTTGGTCGCCACCGGTTGGAAGGGAGAGAGAGAGGAGACAACCCTACGAGCAAGAGAGGAGTGGGAAGTGTTGAAAACTCGTGACATTTTCGAAATAATGTAACAACGTTGTTAGGAGACACCGTTTCCAATAGCCTGCACACTTCAAGAGGTCATATGAAGTTAAGGATGCGTGGTGCGTCCTTCTTTTGCGCGAATGGTGTGCGTATAGAGAGAGTTCAAATTCCGTGGCAAAGCCTATTAGAACAGCCTTTACAGCCTTGATCCTTATGGAGAGATATTCCTAATGCAAAGTTGCAAATGATGGTTTGGTTTGATTCGATTTATTCATCTTTTTAACCCTAAACCGGCCGATGGTGAAGAAAAATCGGCTAAATCGAATTGGATCGGGCCGGATTAATCGGTTTGAATTTATTTGTAAACAGCCCTATCGAACAGAATGAACATTTCGCCGTGACTAACTTTCATTTTGAATGGGGGTAAATATGGAATAACACATAAATGATAGTGACTTCGTGTAATCGAGTGTTGTTTCTTTGTGTAGTGCGATTTTCGCTCTTCTTCCTGTCTTATTGAACTGAACGAACGGCTCCACAACCACAACCTCCAGTCATCGATTCAGGACTTTTGAAGACTGAAGTTTTGAGTCTTTTGACCGGCGACCAAGGCGAGTTCTTTCTCTCTTACCTCCTCCTCCTTCCATTTTGGCTCATAGAGTTTTGAGTTTCCCTATCCCACGATTACTTCTTCTTCATTCTAGTTTTTATTTTTATTTTTTTGTTTTTCTTTCTCAGGTGAGAACTCGAAACAGAGTACCACCGTTACAAAACGTGAAGACGAACTGATGAAGAAAGAAGTGAGCACCTTGATTCAAGCCATTTTCAGGTGAGCAATTATAATAATGCCACGTGGCAACTCACTTACCATTGTGGGTGCTCTCTGAAGTCTGAAGTCTGAACCGCCCTGTTTATTGAACACTTAATTATGTGCATGGTCGATCTCCTAGGGATGTTAAATGAAGGCATAGTAAATGCAGGACCTTACCTTATTAGATGGAAGCAAGGATGAATAGCTTGCAAGTTGCAAGTATATGGGATTCTTGAGATTCATGGTTGGGACTTGGGTGTTTTGAAGGGATTGCTGATTTGGGGCTTGAGGAATGTTTCGTTTCAGCAACTGGTTTTCTATTTGAATCATATCCTCTTTGTAAGAAGAAAAAAAAAATTCCTCTATTTTATGAAAGTATGGAAATTGAACCATACAAAAGGAAGAGGTATTGACCTTTCCCACGGTTCCTTTTCTTCTTCTTCATTCTAATTTTTTATTATTTTTTTTTTTATTTTTATTTTCAGGCGATAACTCAAAAGAGACTGAGTTCGACTGGCCAACAAGGCAACGACCAATCACAATTAAGTGGATTCACGACCAAGGTAAGTCCTCGTCTAGTCCTTCTTCTTATTCATAAATCCTAATCTGCTTCTTCAGTACTTATACAGCTTAATTGGTTACTTATCTTGCTGTCCATTGTTCTTTTATCTCTCTTAAAAATTTAAAACTCAGTGGCTATGGCCTTTTTTTGACTGTCACATGAAGAATAGAATGAACGGATTCGGATTTTTTAACCATGTTCACTGAACGAATTGAGATACTTATGGAAAGGCATGAATTTTGATAATGGAGCCAAAAAAAAAAGATACCTATCATCCACCTTAGGGAAACTCATGTAAACCTCAAATGAATATAATTGTGAGATGAAAGTAGAAAAGTACTTCAATGCCAATCAGTATGCAAATGGAAATGGTAGATATAAATAACATTCATCTAATATATATTAATATAAATATCAAATAATATCTGATAAAAATATATAAATATCAAATAATTAATAAGTCTAAATATTAATATTAATACACTTTAACAAGAAAAAGTGGAAAAAACACCTTTGTTATACAAATGGATGTTATTTGGATGGTCATTCGAATAATAGAATTTAGAAAACATGGTTATAAATTTTCTTCTTCATGTGACATACTTTCTCATTAGTATATAATCGATTAATATACTTTCTCAAACCAGAGGGAAGCAAAAAACGGAATTGTCAATAATGTGGTATATGCCACCCTAATATTTAAAGTTGGCATAAATAGTATTAAATTACCACATTAATAATCTGAATCTGGAGATTGAATTCATACTAGTCTACTCTCCTATAAAAGAAGTTGTGCTTCTTTTCAATGTTAATTAGTGTTTCTTATTAATAACAAGACTGAAGGAGTTCATTATTATAGGGAGTGTATTTGGGTTCATCTAGATTCTCAGAGGTGGATCTAGACTAGAAACTTAAAACTAGAGGTTAGCAAAAACATGGAACTATCAACGATAAAGTATGGTGATCAAAACAATCCCCCTTCCCCTTGGGTGTTGCCCCTAGAAGAAGTCATCCCTCTCTACTCCTTTCCTAGCCATCTTATCTGTGTGGAAATGGCTTATTGAGTGATCCATTGGTATAAGATACTCTCTTTGGAAGCCAAAGATCTAACCTCTGAGAAAATGATGTTGACTTGACATGGGCACCTGCAATGCTTCCAACCTATTATTTAATGCTACTAATAAGTGTATTATTTTACTGTTTTCATTGATAACATTGATTTTGGTTCATTGATAATGCAGGGGTTTTCTATGATTGGGCAACAGAGTGCACTGATATATCTCATAAATGACATTGCATTGTAGTGATTTCTATCTCAATAACAGTCATGTTTCTGTTGTTAGGAGCTATCAATTTGGTCAGGTATCCACTAAAAAAGTGATTATTATCTTGTACAATCACTGCTCTTTCGGTCTTTTGATTTATCTAATGTTTAGATGTTGCCTGTTTTTTTTTCCTGATTCTTCTGAAACACACCCCATTACCACCTCATGAGTGAAACCTCACTTGATAATTTTGTTCAGGTAATTTTTATGCTATCAATCTGTTAATATATATAATTTTACTTGAAAAATTTTATGATATACATTTCTAATCTACGATTTTTCCCCATTGATTTGTAGATTATATAGATGGGAGACCAATTTTTTTATGGATGAAGGATGTGGGTGAGTAAGAAAGAAGAATCTTCTTCTTCTTTTTTTTTATGTGAACCTTGTTTTAATTTAGTATTCTGATGAAGGGTCCCTAATTGCAACATTCTCTTGAATATATTTGACTACCAGGGAAGGCACATAAAGTGCATGAGAAAGCCTTTACTAAGATTCCTCTACTTATTTTCCCAACATAATAAAGGTTCATGCATCACAATTTGTCAACTTTTGTCCACCGACACTTCTAAAAGTATTGTCAAATCCAGAGATGAATTCATTGAGCTTACTTGCAATGGAATGTTGAAGGAGGTATTTGAAAAATTCAGAACGGAGATCTGGTTAGAACCATCCCTATTTTCTCACCTTCTTCAAGGATGTATTCTTTCACAGTCACTTCCTCTAGGCAAGCAGCTCCATTCTTTAATTATCACATCTGGTTGTTCTTCAGACAAATTTATTTCCAACCATCTCCTCAACATGTATTCCAAATTTGGAGAATTGCATACTGCGGTTGCACTGTTCAATTTGATGCCCAGGAAGAACATCATGACATCAAACATTTTGATTGGTGGGTTTATACAAAGTGGTGATTTGGTGACTGCTTGGAAGTTGTTTGAAGAAATGCCTGAGAGAAACCTTGCGACATGGAATGCAATGGTTACTGGACTTACACAGTTTGAATTCAACAAAGAGGCATTGGGTTTGTTATCTCAAATGCATGAAATTGGATTTCGACTTGATGAGTTTACTCTAGGTAGTATTCTTAGAGGCTGCGCTGGTCTGAAAGCACTTATTCCTGGAAAGCAGATCCATTGCTACATAATGAAGTCTGGGTTTGATGGCAATTTGGTTGTTGGGAGTTCTCTGGCTCATATGTACATGAAATGTGGGTTTGTGGAAGAAGGGGAAAGAGTAATAAAGGGAATGCCTGTTCATAATGTTGTTGCATGCAATACCCTCATAGCTGGCAGGGCACAAAATGGGTGCTCCGAGGAAGCTGTGGATCAGTATAATCTTATGAAGATTGCAGGATTCAGGCCAGACAAAATTACCTTTGTCAGTGTTATCAGTTCATGTTCAGAATTGGCAACCCTTGGACAAGGGCAGCAGATTCATGCTGAAGCTATTAAGTCTGGAGCTGCTTCGGCAGTATCCGTGGTCAGTTCATTGATTAGCATGTACTCAAGGTGTGGGTGTTTGGAAGACTCTATAAGGGCCTTCTTGGAATGTGAAGATGCAGATGTTGTTTTGTGGAGCTCGATGACTGCTGCTTATGGGTTTCATGGCCAGGGCCAAGAAGCTATCAAGTTGTTTGAGTCAATGGAGAATGAAGGTCTGGAGCCAAATGATGTTACCTTCTTGAGCTTGCTCTATGCTTGTAGTCATAGTGGATTAAAGGAAAGGGGAGCAAAATTCTTTGAATTGATGGTTGATAAATACAAAGTAAGCCCTAGTTTGGAGCACTATACTTGTATGGTTGATCTCCTTGGGAGATCTGGCTGTTTGGAGGAAGCAGAAGCTTTAATCCAGTCAATGCCCATAAAGCCAGATGCAATTATCTGGAAGACTTTGCTATCTGCATGTAAAATCCATAAGAATGCAAAGATGGCCAGAAAGGTTGCTGAAGAAGTTCTTAGACTTGATCCTCAGGACTCTGCACCTTATGTCTTGCTTTCAAACATCCATGCTTCCGCTAAGAGATGGGGTGATGTTTCAGATGTGAGGAAGGCCATGAGAGAGATGAAGGTGAAGAAGGAGCCTGGGATAAGTTGGTTGGAGGTGAAGAACCAGGTTCATCAGTTCTGTATGGGTGATCAATCCCATCCAAAATGGATGGAGATTGATGGGTTCCTGAAAGAACTAATACTGGAGATTAAGGAACGAGGTTATGTGCCGGACACAAGCTCTGTTTTGCATGACATGGACGCTGAGGAAAAAGAGTACAGCTTGGCCCACCACAGTGAGAAAGTGGCTATTGCTTTTGCACTCCTGAACACTCCTGTTGGTTCCCCAATCAGGATCATGAAGAATTTGCGTGTGTGTAATGATTGCCATGTGGCAATCAAATTCATATCAGAGGTTACTTTAAGAGAAATTATTGTTCGTGATGCTAGTCGGTTTCACCATTTCAAGGCCGGGAAATGTTCTTGTGGTGATTACTGGTAGATACAGGATGCTACTCTTACAAGTGCAGGGAATTAAGTTTATTTATTTTTTTATGGTAAGATTAATTTTATTTAATACTTAAAGTTAAGGTTATTGAATTTATTTGTTCTGAAGGAGATTCTTGTTAGCATTCCTTTAAATTCATGCATATGATGGGAAAACCTCTACATTTCAAAGATGGAAATTTGTTAGCTATGATCGGGATCTTCATCATTGCCATCTACTTCAAAGGATTCTATGTTGTTTTGCCTGTTTGTTAATTGTTACTATGCCGTTATGGACAAGGTTCATTCAAGCACACTATTTTAGAAGTTGAACATTCTACCATTTACAATCTGCACCACAGTGCAATTTTTACATTATTTTGCAGGTTGAAAAGCATTAATGTGATCTCTGGAATTCAAAGTTCTTTGATTTAACATTATTAAGTTATAAAAAAATCTTACACTGTTTTTATCTGTAATTCTGTAATCAGAGGAGTTCCTTTATTAGTATCTGGGGAAATGGATGGGATCTGAATGGTTATCTGTTTGTCCCCATTCATAGTCTTACATGGTATATCAGTGCACCATCAAGGTGATTTTTAAGAACCTTTTTGCTTTGTATGCTAATTTCCTTTTTCCAAGCTTTCTTTATAATGAACTAGCAGGGAAAAAATTTATCCATCATGGTTTCATTTCCTCTACTGGCATTTCATTGTTGCTGCTTGTTTCTACTTGACATATTTGGATCAGAATTTGCAGCTTGGCAGATCTGGCAATCAGTCTTCAATGCTGTCAATGTTCTAGAAAACTTGGATTGAAGCTTTTGGAACCTTGGCTAAAAGCAGCATAAGGTACTGTTGTATGGGGCATCTGCTTTTCTTGTTTTCTGCCAGTTAATTTTTTGCTACTTCATAGCTGCTTTGCAGTCATTAAATTGGGATTATATGAATTATGAAGTTCATGGTGAAACCATGTTTAGGGATTTTTTATCCATCACACAAAAAAAGTTAAGGGATTTTTATATGGATTTTGATTACTTTATATTACTATTAGAATGAACAACTTTTGCACTTCTAGTTTATGAATGCAATTGGATGATGAAAGACATCTGTTCTTACATGTTATTGTGTTGGGGGCATTAGCCATCTACCATAGGCATTGTAACATAGCTTTTGGTTTTCTGGTTGAGTCAATGGTTATGAAAGGTTTTGAAGTGTGAGTTCTATGAGTTAGCCTAGGACTACTAAGCATCAAGAACAGATGGAGAAGTTTCACTGGAGAAGATGGAAGAACATCGAAGCAAATTGTTTTTGATAGAGGAAACAAGAACTAAGGGTATTCTAAGTCTGAAAATCAGGGAAAAGAAGTTAGCCATAGTGATGCTCATGGGTAAAGAAATTATTGATTATCTAGCATTAATGAAAGTTACTGTTTCCAATTAAAAAAATAAATTATTGATTGCTTCAGGGGTTTTGTAGTAGGAGCTTTCCCGTGTCGTAGGAAGACTGTTAGGAAGAGTATGAGAGTTGGGGAAGACAGAAGATATCTCGCTGAAAGGAAGCAGAATGCTAATGGGTTTTTCATTGCTCTTTTTGAATATTTTGGTGATGGTAGGAAGCAATTGGTTTGCTCTTCCCTAAAGGGAGGGAAAGGTCAAGGCTGGATGGAGATTTCTGAGCTGTTGCAGGAATCGGTGGAATTTTCAAGAAGAGATGGCACTGTTATTTGGGCTTTCAGTGGACCAATAGGGATAGCCTCTTCAACAAAGGCTGAAATTATGGCAGCACTAACTGGAATCAGGATTGCAAGAGATCTGGGTTTTCAGAACATCACCATAAAAGGAGATTCAGCAAATACAATCAGGTGGCTAGCTGACTATGGCAGCGGGCCATGGGCTTTAGCTCATTTTTTGACTGAAGCAAGGGATATCCTTCTCAACCTAAATGCACAGCTGGGTTGGATCCCTAGGGAGCTAAACACTGATGCAGATGGTCTAGCAAAAGCTGGTGCTCACAGGGATGTCTTGTTTAGTAATAGTTCTCTTCCTACCTAACTCTTGAGTTGTTTAGTAATAGTTCTCTTCCTACCTTTTTGAGAGTGGAAGTAACCACTTTTGAGATGTTCTTTCTTGAGAAGATAAGATACCACTTGTCTATATACATATTAGATGTTCTGATGACTGTCCAGTAACATCAGAAGAAAAAAGCAAAGTCAATGAGGTCATTATTTGGCAGCAAAATGCTTTGGTGACTATTATTTCAAAAGTTGTTTAGGATTGGGCTTTGTGTATTGGTTCTTTGTTTTGCAACTCTGGCCATGGATTTATTCCTTATTTCTTACTTGAAAATAAAAGTTTTCTCAATCATATAGAGAAATTCTTATTGATTTGAAATCGTATTATAAGTTATGACATGCATTTTTATATTTAAAACTTAAAAGAGCACTTATTAGCATGTGATGCTTATTAGTTGCTCCACAAATTATAGATTATGTAAACCATATTTGTAGGAAATAAGGGATTATGTGATTGAATTGTAGAATTTAATGAGAAAATTTATGGTTAAGATGAAAAACAGACATCTCTTGAGAAAGAGAAGATCAAAACCGAAAAGAGTCAGGAGAAAAGTAAGAAAAAAGGTCCCAAAAAAAAACTAAAGAGGCTTTAATAGGGATTAATGGATCGCACTGCAGACAGAAGTAGGACAAACAAGGGAAATTCTGGTAGAGTGACCAAATGAAGATATTAAGTTGGAGTGGGCAGATCAAAAGAAGCTTAGTGAAAGCAACTTTGAAAAGAGAAAACCCAAATATAATTATCCTTCAGGAATCTAAAAGGGAAATCATTGATAGGAGACTTATGAAAGCAATTTGGGGTAGAAAATGGACTGCTGTTCCAGCGGTGGGTTCTAGTGGGGGCGTCATCCTAGCTTGGAAGGAAGATGAAATCTCAGGTTTGGAAATAGACAAAGGTGAGTTCTCAGTCTCGGTCTTGTTCACAAACTTAAAAGATGATTTCAGCTGGATTCTTACCGGAGTATATGGCCCCAACTCTCCCTCCGATAGAGAGAGATTTTGGGAAGAACTGGATTCCTTGCATGCAGAGGAGGATATCCCGTGGTGCTTAGCCGGAGACTTCAACGTCACAAGATTCAATTTGGAATATTCTAATGGTAGAGCCCCAACAAGAAGTATGAGGAACTTCTCAAAATTCATCTCCAGTCATAACTTGTGTGACCTCACCTGGTCAAATATGCAAGAAAATGTCTTAAGCTGTAGACTTGATAGATTTCTGCTTTCTCAGGAGTGGCTGGAAAGATTCCCCAATCTTTGCCAAGAACTTCGCCCTAGATGTACTTCAGACCACTGGCCTATTTTGCTAAACACAGAAAGAACCATTAGAAGAAAGACACCTTTTAGACTGGAAAAATTCTGGTTATCTCACAAAGATTTCAATAAAAAGGTTGCAGAATGGTGGGAAGATTGCAAAGTAGAGGGTTGGGCTGGCTTTAGGCTCCTACAGAGATTAAAAGCTCTAAGGAGAAACCTGAAAGCTTGGGTGAGAGAGATATTCAAAACTGTTGAAGAAGAGAAGAAAAGAGTTCTTACAGAGATCGAGGAGCTGGATAGCAGGGAACAAAATGGGACCCTTGATGCTCTAAACGGAAGTAGAAGAGTAGATTTGAAAAAGGAATGGGAACAACTAATCAGAAGAGAAGAAATTTACTGGAGACAAAGATTAAGAGTGAAATGGCTGAAAGAAGGAGACAATAACTCCAGATTTTTTCACACTTATGCCTCGGGAAGGAGCAAGAAAAACTTCATCTCCAAGCTGAAAGTGAACCAGAGGGAAGAGGAAAATCCCGAGAAAATTAAGGAAGCCTTCCTCTCCTTTTTCAACAACCTCTACTCCAAGGATAGCAGTAATCAATTCACATTTAGTAGATGAGAAGGCACAACTTTATCAACTGAAAAAAGGGATTGGTTGGAAAGAAGTTAAAAATTCTGTTTTCAGCATGGATGGAGATAGGGCTCCAGGTCCGGATGGCTTTCCCATCTCTTTCTTCCAGCAGTGTTGGGAAATAGTAAAGTTAGATATTTTGGATTTTTTCAGGGAATTCCACTCTTTGGCCATTGTTAACAAAGGCCTTAACTCAACCTTTCTCTGTCTCATCCCAAAGAAAGGGGGAGTCTTGGAAGCAAAAGACTTTAGGCCAATAAGTTTGATAGGGAGCATTTATAAAATTCTGGCTAAAGTCTTGGCCAATAGACTTAAAGATGTCCTTGAAGATCTTATTTCCCCAAATCAATTTGCCTTTGTGAAAGGGAGACAGATTGTGGACAGCATTCTAATTGCAAACGAGTGTGTGGAAGACAGAAAATCCACTGGGAATCCGGGGGTCCTAGTGAAATTAGATCTAGAAAAGGTGTATGATAAAGTGGATTGGGACTGTATCCTTGATTGCCTAAAGATGAGAGGTTTTGGTAACAGATGGATCAAATGGATTAGGGGTTGCATTGGTTCTTCATGGTTTTTGGTGTTGATAAATGGCGAAGCGAAAGGCTACTTTAAGGCTAGTAGGGGTCTCAGACAAGGTTGCCCGCTCTCTCCCTTTCTGTTCACTTTAGTAATGGATATCTTTAGCTACCTTTTCAATAAGGCAACACTCTTCAACTTGGTGAAAGGTTTCGAAGTGGGAAGGAACAAGGTTCATATCTCATATTTACAGTTTGCTGATGACATAATCTTGTTCTTGGATGCCTCCTTGAACAACATCACAAACACTAAAAGGATAATTGAATGCTTTGAAATGGTCACAGGTTTGAGGGTCAACTTCTGCAAAAGTTCTATGGTTGCTCTGAATTCAGTGGAAGTGGAACTCTTGGAGAGCTTCAAATCTTTATTGGGGTGTAAAGAGGAGAATCTTCCTATCTCATGCCTTGGAAGAATGTGAGAAGAAACTTTCAGCTTGGAAGAAATGCTATCTCTCAAAAGGGGGAAGACTTACTCTCTTAAAGGCCTCCTTAGCAAATTGGCCGGTCTACTTCCTTTCAAATTTCCTGACTCCAAACAAAATCAGGAATCAGATTGAGAAGCTTCAAAGGAACTTTCTTTGGGAAGGAGGTGGGGAAAAGAGGAGTCATTTTGGAAACAAGTTTGTAAGCCTAAAGAGGAAGGAGGCCTGGAAATTGGACACTTCAAAGAGAAAAATTCTTCTCTTTTAGGTACATGGCTGTGGAGGTTCCCTAAAGAACCCAATGCTCTTTGGACTGCTGTCATATCAAGTAAATACGGATYAAATGCAAACAGGTGGGATAGCAATCTTCATTTGAACAGGATAAAATCCACAAATCCATGGAAAGGTATCATCTCCACCCATTCTTCTTTCTTTCCTTTCATAAGATAAAAGTAGG